ATAAAACAGTAAAATGCCCTCATTTCGTTTTTCCTCATACCACTGTAATCGTCTCCTGTACCTGCAACTCACCACTCGAAAAGAATACTTGACCTGAACAAATCCTGGGCTGATGGGCTGCTCTGATATTTCTCTTGTCCTTTCACTAGCCTTTTTCAACGTTCAGATGGTAGACTGATAGAGAAAATGATCGAAAACCATCTTCGTCTATGGGCAATTGCCAGACGTGGTGCAGCTTTGAAGTTTGAGCAACTTTGATTGCTAAAAGGTACTGGTGACTTGTTCGCCATGTAAGAAACCCAAATTTCAAAACTCGATGAACTGAATTATCGATTGAGGTGCTTTAATATTTGGGGTAGGACGTAGATGCGCAGCAAGTGCTAAACCTACCGTAATGTTGGGCGCCGGTGCATCTTGGCCAGTGCCCTTGGAGGAAACAGGACACGGTATAGCTCTATGTAGAATTCTGTAAAATGTGATCCCCCTTGTCAACATTTCTCCTTCTTTTTACTCTTTGCAACGCAGTTTACTGAACTTTACCTTTACTTATATGCTCACGGACTCACTTAAATGAATTTACCGACGTTGATAAGATTTACCGTCAAGCAGGGATCCTTCCGATCAACTACCCAAACGCTACCGTACCCTGCTGAGAAGTTGGCTGCATAGTGGTTCGGAGGGATGGGAGCTGATACATCAGTCAATGGGGAAGATCTTCCCGTGTGTGGAAACACTTACATCCCCTCTCATGTAGACAAAAATACAGCCTCCCTATATGCCGTTCTGCCAATGATGGCGTCTATAGAGAAAAATTCAACTGCCGAAAAAATTTCTAGAGGGCAACTACGATTTCTCGAGGCCCACCCCGGTGCTAGTTTACGGCCCACCTCAAGGCATCCGTTGTATACTTCACAGGGGTGCTGTACCTTGAGTGGGAAGCCCTGCCATAAAATGGCTTTTGATGTCCTCATCTACTGGCAAAAGTTATGCTGTATATCCTAGTGTAATCTGGCGTGGAAAATGCCGTAGATCTCAAAATTTGCTTTTTCTCTCGTAGGCACGATTCGGCATGAAGCTCGTTAAGTGGCACGCCACATTCCGTTAATGATTAGCCAAATCAACTAATGACCTGATGAGGTGACATGGGCGCTGTGATTCGTTCTCGCTTACACTCACATCCAACCGCTATGCATCTGATAATGATTTTAGTACAATGGCCTCATCCACGCTGAATTATAGATCTAACTATTGCCAATGTGAGTATCTGAAAAAAAGCAGGACAGCATTATTGGGGATCAGCATCCTCAGTACCTCGAATTATGTCCGGCATGGTCTTGCATCACATAGTTTCATACCGGATCTTTTCAAGCCAAGTGGGTCCCAGGCCCCTGGTAGAGTTCTTCCCTCCATAGTGGCATAGGAGCTTACTTCGCGACCTTCACGTACTTCATCTTGATTCCATAAGTTTTCTTTTCAAGCCAAGTGGGTCCCAGGCCCCTGGTAGAGTTCTTCCCTCCATAGTGCCATAGGAACTTACTTCGCGACCTTCACGTACTTCATCTTGATTCCATACATTCAGTAACTTCATCTGCGGTAGTGGATGGTGGCGCACATGTAGAGTCTAGTTCACCGTGGTTGCTGGGGCGTGTCAGGGGAGCTGGGTTTGGCACCAGCCGAGTTCCCACCGATTGCTGTCGTTTTCTCCCTTCGACAATTGGCTGTTGCGCCAAATCTTGCATCCAGAAATGCCCTCGCATCCCAGCGAACGGGACTACAATTCGTCTTATGAGCTGCAAGTTGAGCTTGACCCCGAGATCAATGGGCCGACTCTTTCAGCGACTCACCGTGTCATTCCTCTTTCTTTTTTGAATCGATCGTCAGGAACATTTCGTGAACATAAACTCGAAATCCGTGGGCGTGGCTGCGTATGTAGTTCAGCTGAACGTTGCAGTTGCCAAGGTTTTCGTGAGATATTTTCATTCTGAGGACAGTTGTGACTATGTTTTGTCCAACAAAAAACTAGAGGACACTTGTCTCGAATTGAAATATCCCACGAGTAACCCATCCTTATGCCATGTCCAACTTCTACGAATGCTACGTCTCAGAAATAAGGAGTATAACTCAGCGTCAAAGGCCTCTCTTCCGGAAGGTTCCTTGTCGAACGGCCCACACAATAAATGAACGCAGTGGCGGAGGTCCTATCCTATGGACTCCACTGGCGACGGTGAGTTAATTTCTGCGAATGTCTCAGGTCAGGTCCGGCGATGTAGCTGGACTATGTGAACTCAGCAGGTTCAACGAGCGTTCTGGTACTCGCTGACGCCAAAGGGATTCCCAGATTAGTTGACGAGGCACTCAGTAGAAAGTCTCGTCCAGATGTTTGGTTCTCTGAACCCTTCCATTCCAGGTTGAAAAGCGAAGGTGATAACGGCTCCGTGTCCAGTCGAAATTCACGCTCCATCCGGCTGACGTCACTTGCCGTTCAAGGGACTAGTAAGGGTCTTGTAATACGAATAGGTCCATATTCGGAGCAGCCGGCGATCTCTCCTCTCTTCCTGTATACAGGCCGGGAGACACTTCCTGGCCGCTTTGCTGGAGCACTTTATTCACTTGTTGAACAACTCTTTTACAAGAGGAAACGATCAAAATGTTTCTAGAATCCGTTTGGGATGTCATTGAGTCAGATAGTTTCTTGTTTATCGCCATCTGAATGGCCACATCACCTTCGATGTCTGGGTGTACGACTGGGCTCTGGGCCTGGTTCTTGGTGAAATTCTAATGAGTCCACCATCAGAATCTTGAAGCCAAAACGTCTGAAATTATAAAAATTTTGGATTGCACATGGGCTAACTCTCGCAATTTTTACATCGACTAGATCGCCACCACGGCACTGAATACAAGTAGGTGCGTGGCGTATCCAAAAAAGCATGATCAATGCCGGAAACTTTGTTCGAAGGTGAAAATGACTAGGGGATTATTGAAAGACATTTGCCATTTGAACTCTTATAATATTCCATGAGTACGCATGACTCTCTTCTAGGAGTGACCTTCCCCATAGAGACATGCGCCTAACGAAGCTAATCCTGTGAATCGGTTGCGCAGTCACTGGCTCTTATAGAAGGTGAAGGGAGGGGATTGCGAGGAGGGTTCCCAGAGACATGTGTCCAGAGACATGGGACTTCAAAATTACGATTTCCGGACAAGTCCCTGATATTTTCGCTTTCAGTTCCCCTAGGCAAACAGTAGTGTTTGAGCTGATCTTCTAGCTTTGATCTGACCACCCCTTCCTAGGTGTTCAAGGGGTTTTATGATGTAGTGGGAAATTGCATTACGTTTGGTTGCATTCAGTGAGTCTAGAAGTTGTAGCAGCATATACTCCTTATCCCTGAGACGGGGTAGGCGTGGCATTCGAACATGGCGCAGAACTGGTTACTCGTGAGATATTTCAGCTTGAGACAACTGTCATCTTGTTATGTGAACAGAGACGCGACCACATTTAGGTCAATGAAAATATCTCTCCAAAAGCATAGCCACCACGACGTTTAGTTGAAGTACGCAGCCACGCCTACCTCATCTCAGGGATTTCGAGTGTACCTCGTGGGCATTATATAAATCAATAAAGAAATGCATGTTCTTTGTATGACAAAATGTCATCGCTAAAGATCCCAGTGCCCTTCTTGTGAGAATAAACAGTCGCTGGAAAACGACCATCGATCATAGGGCTTTTTATACTGGAAAAATGCTCGATTACTCAATATTAAAAAATTGTCCGCTTGCATGTCAAAAGCGAATATTTGAAAATTTGTCAGAATAGTGTATATGGGGGTGAACTAGCCTGTTATTTCATTTGGTCTATTCCACAAAGCCATCAGCCCTTTGACAGCTCGACGAACGTAGTTTTTCGATATTCGGACTTTACGTAGCCCATACATCCCCTATGTACCTGCAACCCACCCTCTAACCCAACAGCTGCAATTTCAAAAGTTCATATTTTTCTCTCCTAATTTCTGATAGTTTCGTAGACATTAATAAATTCTCATTGCAAAAGTTGGGCACTCGGTATTTATGTATTTTACGTTGGACTCACTAGAGTCAGAGATTTTGTAGTGTACCTGCACCACATATTCCGAAGGTGGGGGGAGGGAGGATGGTGCATAGTTGTGTATTTCATTTTAACAGGGTGGAGTCGGCACTTTTGGTGGAATATTGTTGTCAGGGCACGTCGTGCAAAGGGGATCCTCGGCGAGGGGGTCGTGTTTGGTCGCTGGAGGGAGAGAGGTCGTGTTTGCCTCCCTGACTTTTCTCGCTTTTTGCTGTTTCAAGTGTGTTATTCATCCCATGCAATAGTTTTTAGGAAAAACAGGAAAGTTGAAAAAACTGCGGAAAAAGCGGTAGGAAGTTGGGAAAGTTCAGTAAGATCGCATATAGGATGAGGATGAGGAAGTGGGGTGGGGGTCGTACCAGGGGTAGCAATTTTCTGAGGGAGTGTCATATTTTGCGAAAATTCCAGCAAGCGGAGCAGCGTGCCCTGGTTATTGCTTTGAGGCAAATGAATCCTCTTGCCTTTGTCCAGTACAAAACAGGACAGGCAGTACAGACAGACAAGGGCAAGGGCTCAAATGGGAAATTCCCACGAAAACCCAACTTAAGAATTGTTGAAATGAAATACACAGTCACGCCCTCCCCGTTTCTGAGAGCTGAAGTGTACGCATTCGTCGAAAAAGTAAATCAATTAGTGAATTTTCTATATGTTTTCGCTGCAGGAATTCGTTCAAGATCCCTTACCTTAGGTATCTGTGTTACTCTTCCTTTACTCGAGTGGCTACTTCTTCTAATACTTCCACCCCAACTCGCTAGTTAGGGATGAGTTTTGTTGCGTCGATATTGTTTGCACAAAACTATTGTTACGAGCGCGAGCGGTCAAGTACATGACAGAATTTACACAGTAGTACTTTGAGATGTTCGCCTCGGTTTCCTGCTGTTTATGGACAGGCGGATTGATGTTTAAGGACGGGTTTGTGGATCAATACATCAAAGAGACAAATCTCACCACTACTAATTATGGATCCACTTACGATTACGGTAGCATTATGCACTATGGAGCATCCAGGTTAAGATAAAACGTAACTACTTTCAATCAGGTTGAGTTAGTGCAACATAGACGAAACTTCCAGTGCTTCTTGGAACAAATTGCCTACTATGGTAGCCAACGACACCAATTATCAAGAATCAATGGGCTCCTATATCCTCTCCTTCATTGACAAATCGATGATCAACGACCATTACAACTGCAAAGGTAGGAGAAACAGAACATTTTTGCTCACAAAAGGAGCTGGAAGGATTTCTGTCTAGCACTGTGTACGAACGAAACCTCAGCTCAATGTGAGAATGGTGGGTTCCCTCACCCACGGAACTGTTCGGAATGCATCTGCCCCAGTGGTTATGGCGGAGCCATTTGCGATCGGAGGGTAAGTCATAGGTTTAAGTAGCAGAGTTCATTGTTGAAGCCACTTTTTCAGCCAGATGGATGTGGAGAAGTGTTGGCAGCGAATGTTACCACACGAATCCTCAAAGATGAACTCGGCTTCAACTCGACCGGCGTCAGAGAAAACTTTACGTTCTGCAATTACTGGATCGAAGTATGTGATGTTACTCACCCGTTATGTTCGTTTGGAGAAATCCAAGCTCTCACAGGCTGCTGAAGGGGACAAGATTGAAATCACAGTCAAATCCATTTCTCATGGCTACGGCTAATGATGGATGTACTCTGGGAGGCGTTGAAGATCAAAACCAGTGAAGATCAAATCCGAACGGGATACCGGTGAGTTCGGTTCAAAATCACGGTCGGCTTCTCATAATTAACTTGACTTGTCTTGCAGGTTTTGCTCACCAAAAGATAACGGTACCGTTCTAATTTCGGCCTCTAATCGTGTGCCTGTGATCACGTTCAACAGATATGATCAGCATGAGATTATCTTGGAGTATAAGATTGCTTCATAAACATTCACTTCGCCTCGAATTAGAGTTGTGATCCCTGAAAGTGAGAGGGCGTGTGGCGAGGCGTGAACTGGAGCGTAGCCAAGACGGCTTTCTTCACCAATAACATTCTGACTACGCAGTGGCTGCAGGGAACCCTGCCCTGGCTGTGCTCCAGTTCACTCCCCGTCACACGCTTTATCGTTTGTAAGGGTCGTGACCTATATGCTTCGGAATAAACGTGAATCTACAGTCAAGTGTTTCCTAACAGAAATGTGCTTGAAGGGTTGCCACCCGATTTCACGGAAACTACAACAGGGATCGCCACTTTAGAAACCTGCTTCACCTATTCCAATATCTTCAGTCATGGTCTTGTGTACGACAGCAAACTCGGTAGAGTTCATCACGGTAGCCTCAGCCAGGGAACTGCCCATTTTGCACAAGCTACAACATTGTCTAGGGAGTCCCATCAGGGTTCATAACTGGGTATTGTAATCGGTAAGGAGGGGGTCACATCTGGTCTCGAGAGGGATTGTTGGTAATGATGACGGTTGATGAGAAGACTCTTCTACCTCCTTCCCTTCCAGCTCGACGCCATTTTATGGGAGAAAGTAGTAAATTCTCTTTGGGAG